ATTAGCGATGGACGCTGGTACGAGGGAATTACTACGCGATTGCTTTCACCGTTTTTATTAGCCGGTTATAATAATAAACCGTGTACTAATAAACGGTGCAATTATTAAGAAGCGCGTCGGCACACAGCGTCAATTATCAGGCTTATTATACAACGATTAAATTCGTAGAAATTTAGCTGTTAAAAAAAAGACTTCTTCGAATCGTCGGAACAACGCGTGAAACCCGCCGTTCGTACTCGATTTCAGAGAAACAAATTCCGGCCTTGGAAGAGAATTCCTCGACGTTCTCGCAGACGATCCGAGTCGATACGGGTTTCATTAAACGGCACGAAACAACGAAGAAAACGGAACGAGCATATTTTAAAGTGCTCGGGGCCCAGCTCTGTGGGGAATCAGAGGTGGCTCCAGCCATTCCGTTTCATCATTCACCACCCCCACCCCTCGCGAAACTCTCCGGAGGAACATTCGGTTATTTCCCACAGGCGAGAGAACGTTGTACGCTGTTCCGTTTTTACAACGGCGCGCTGCCGTATGTGCCGACGAAATCTTCGGTTAACCGTCGGCATCGATCCAGCCTCGGCCCAAAGGGTTCGCGGACCCGTAAAAAGCGATCGATCAGCGCGAATGCGGCCGAGGTGGTGTCGTTAGGCGTGAAGATAATACAGGGTGTTCCAAAAATGTCTCGCAATCGGAAAGTGGCGGGTTCCTCAGGTCATATGAAGCAACTTTTTCCTTTACAAAAATGTTCTCCGAGGCACCGTTAACGAGTTATTAACGAAAAACAGTGACCAATGAGAGGTGAGCTCGGCTGACGCGAGGCGACCGAGCCAATGAGCGGAACTGGGCTTCGTGCACCGGTTGGCTGGGCCGCCTCGCGTCAGCCGTACTCGATTCTTATTGGTCACTGTTTTTCGTGAATGACTCGTTAACGGTGCCTCGGAGAACATTTTTGCAAAGGAAGAACCTGCTTCGAATGACCCGAGGAACCCGCTATTTCCGGATTGCGAGACATTTTTAGGACACGCTGTATATGTTCGACTGTTTAAACCGGAATCGACGAGACGCGTCGTCCCGCTTCGGAACGCCTCGGACGAAGAGACAGCCACAGTCGAGCTCCACTTTGGATTTTACTTTCACCGTAAACTTTTTTTCGCGGCGAGCGCACAGTTCTTTCGCCTAACTTTTCGTCCCCGTACAGGTGCACACACGCGCGCACGGTGCCCATGCGAACCAGCTAAATTCTGCTGGTTATATCGTAAAGAAATCGCTGCGAAAGACAATCTCGCGCGAAAGCGATCCCGTCGCGGCTTAGCGTTTTACAGTTTCTTTTCGCACGCGAATTTCACGGATTCCGATGCAACGTCGCTAGAATGAACGTAAGAGCTTACGTTCTCGACGAAAATTCTATCGTTCGAGAGAAATCGGGATCACTGGTCGGGACGATCAAACATAATCGAGAGACGTTACGCGAACACAGTTTCGTTACGGCGAGTACCTTTTGCTGATTCTTCTGTGGTTTTGACTGTTCAGAAACCTTTTTAGGGGTTGCAATTATAGTAATCTGTTTTATGGTGAATGTGCGATCACGCGTGAAAAGGTAAAATTAACTGTTTGGGTTATTTTGTCGGGGTTATTCGAAAAAGTTCTTGCGATGGGAACGGATTTAATTAATTTGCTGATGTGCGGAATAGTATACAGGGTGTCCCAAAATTATGGTATTTCCGGGAAAATGAGGGGTTCCTGGGGTCATTTGTAGCAACTTTTTCCTTAGCGAAAATGTTCTACGAGGCCTTGTTTGCGAGTTATTAACGAAAAACACTGACCAATGAGAGATCGCGTATGGCTGATGACCCCCGCTCTTGCGGCCAGTGCCGCTGCGTCAGATGGCCGGCGCGACGCGGCATTGGCTGTTAGGGCGGAGCATCGGCTGCACATAACACAATATATAATAATATATAACATAATATATAATAATATATAATATAATATATAATAATTATATATAATATACGATTGACCGACCTTGATGAATTCGGATCCGCGCCGGCTGCGCGTCCCGTAAAAAAAAGCATATATTAACGTGGAAAGGGAAGAATGTCGGGGCGTCGTTCGCGAAACTTTTTACGACCGTGAGCGAGGTTTACGGTCTCCGGCCGGAGGACCGTCGACGCCTTTCGTAAAAGGATCAACGGGAAACCGGACGAAGAAACCGAAGTTCAAAGTCGACTTTCACTCGCCGTTTTTCCGATCGCCACGGCGAAACCGGAAAGTAACGCACCAGCGAGCGGCGCTCGATCGAGAGCGCCAGCACCCCGAGCGCATCGTCTCACGCGAGATATACGTACGTATGTACGTACGTACGTACAATGAGGTAACACAGAGTACACGGGCACGGTGGTGAGTCGCGACGACCGACAGGACTCGTTATCCTTTCGTCGCGGGGACGGATACGCGAGCGCGCGGCTCTTTGCTCGGTCTCCGCGCGATCGGACCGTGAAGGAACGAGGAAGGGATGGAAGCACGCGATGCGGAAAAATCCGCGGCGAAAGTAAACGCACGAAGAAGACGATACGCGCGGGTTCCGTTGATTCCAGTAATCGCGGGATTGTTAGAGGAGGCGGCGACTGACGGGGCCTGGGACAATTCCTGCTTACGCAGAAAACGTATCTCGCCCGGAAAATAATCTTCCTGCCTGCCTGCTTCCTCGTACCTCCTCCTCGCCTCGCATCTCGTTAGCAATCGTGTTATCCGCGCGAGCGTTCTCGAGGAATCGGAGTAAATCTCGTAGGAAGAATGCTATCGCGCGATCCGGAAGGAAGTGTCGTTCCACCGGAAATGATTAGGTACATTCTTGTTGAACAGCAAGAACAACTTCGGAGAAACGTGTGTTCGGAGAAACAATGAAATTCATTTTTGTAATTAATTCTTTAACGGCTGTAATTATGCAGATATATGTAATTATATATATAGATATGATAAGATAATTGTTTATAGATGGTATAAGATCATTATTTATAAATAGAATGAGGTATATATAAATATATTAATATATAAATTATATATTAATTTTATATATAAATATATAATATAAATAAATATATTTTATTTATATATATATTATAATATATATATTATATATATTATATTAATTATATATATATATATATATATATATATATAATTATACTATTTATTTATTATTTATTCGGTTATATATAAATATAATAAGATAATGATTCATAGTTATGCAGGTATGTATACCGGACATAATTATACAACACAGTCTGCGGAATTGTGCAGGGTGTCCCAAAATTATGGTACCCCCGGAAAATGAGAGGTTTCCGAGATTATTTGCAGCAACTTTTTCCTCAGCGAATTAGACAAAAATAAACAGGATCAAGGTTCATTATATTATTTAATACAATCGATACGTTAGTATCAATTGTTCGAATTTGTTCGAGGCGCACGCCAATTTGGTTCCTGTTCCTGTTCACGGCCGTAAAAAGTTTCGCGAACGACGCCCCGGCATTCCTCCCTTTCCACGTTAATACACGCTTTTTTTACGGGCCGCGCGCCGTCAGCGCGAACCCGAATTCATCAAGGTCAACGACACGGGAAAGGCAATCCCGATTGATTGCTTTCGCCGTCGGGGACGTTCTCCTTTCCCCAGCCGGCATCGCGGCCACCGGATCGCCGAAAACCGTGAGATGCCGAGTCGTAACATCGAAACTATCCAGTGGAGACCCCCCCCCCCCCCCCCCCCCCCCCCCCCGCCCCCCCCCCCCCCCCTCTCTACCGCCGGGAGTTCCCCCTTCGCGTTCCTCGAACGTCCGGAACGCGCGATCGAGAGGAACACGTTTCTATACGGATTTTGTCGTCCGCGATACTTTCACGCGAATAACATCGAAAGTAATTGTTAAACCGAACAAAAACTTGGGTGGGATTTCTTCTTGTAGACTGAGGTGTATTTTTTCACACAGCCGTCCAGAGAGCCCGGTAATATAGAATTCTACCGCCGCCACTTCCGCCGCCGAGACGATAAGAAATATTTTTACATAATTAACAAGCTCGTACAATTAATCTCGCGGCACGAGCTCTCGTCAGGATACAATTTACGATACTTTCGGAATAATCGGTGGAGCATCCTTTCTCTCGCAGGAAGAAACGGGTATGCAAAAATACGCAAAGCTTGTTCTTTTTTTTCGATCCAATGATTGAATGTTTATTAATAAGTAACACACGTGTAAAAACTCGCGTAAAGATTTGAATGCAGAACAAATAACCATGTTCTGCGTGCGACGTTAATTGACATTGCTGAATAGAACGAAATTAATAGAATTAAGTAGAATTAAATAGAATTAAATAGAATTAATTGAATAGAATTGAATAGAATAGAATTGAGTAGAATTAAATAGAATTTTGAATAGAATTGAATAGAATTAAATAGAATTTTGAATAGAATTGAATAGAATCGAACAGAAACGAACAGAATCGAACAGAATCGAGTAGAATCGAATAGAATCGAATAGAATCGAATAGAATCGAATAGAATCGAATAGAATCGAATAGAATCGAATAGAATCGAGTAGAATCGAGAAGAATCGAATAAAATCGAATAGAATCGAATAGAATCGAATAGAATCGAATAGAATCGAATAGAATCGAATAGAATCGAATAGAATCGAATAGAATCGAACAGAATCGAATAGAATCGAATAGAATCGAATAGAATCGAATAGAATCGAATAGAATCGAATAGAATCGAATAGAATCGAATAGAATCGAATAGAATCGAATAGAATCGAGTAGAATCGAGTAGAATCGAGAAGAATCGAATAAAATCGAATAGAATCGAATAGAATCGAATAGAATAGAATCGAATAGAATCGAATCGAATGGAATCAAATCGAATAGCATCGAATCGAACAGAATCGAACAGAATCGGTAGAGCATCCTTTCTCTCGCAGAACGAAACGGGTACGCAGAAATACGCAAAAAGCTTGTCGTTTTTTTTCGACTCAATGATTGAATGTTTATTAATAAATAACACACGTGTAAAAACTAACGAAGCGTAACGATTTATATGCAGAACAAATAACAATGGACGAATCCAATAAGCGCGGCTAGTGCTTCTTGCTGTGAATGATGGTTTTGTAAACGGGGATCTTGATGGGGATCGGCTTCACCACCGGAACGGGAACGTGTTTCACTACGTGGAACGGGACCGGCTTCTCCACCTTCACGGGGATGATCTTCTCGACCGGCGTCGGCACCTTCTTCTCCACCTTCGTGAACACCTGCTTCTCCACCTGCGCCCAAAACAGAGATCGGAATCGAGGGAATCGGAATTATGATTCTAATTATAATAAACGTTTAATTGTGATCGTCGGCGACGTTTCGAATGAAATTGCGTACCGGATACGGGACCGGCTTCTTCACGATCAGTGGCACAGGGTAGCTCTGCGGTACTTGTTGGACCTGCAAACTCGGAATCGCCAGGGCGTACTTCTTCAGCACCGGCACTCCTGTTCCAACGAGATTCGATAATTACGAACAGCCTTGTAAAGGTTCGACGAAAGATTTGGACAGTTTAACATCGTTTTCTTCGCTCATTATCCGTCAATGTCACATTTTTCGGACACGTTTCTCTTTCACAAAATGCAACTTCCAGGTTAAATACAGGCATTGAAACAGTGAGAACGTATGCTCGTTTTCCCACGAAAGTATTACAAATTCACGCTATTTTAAATCGTTGCAAACTTCCGATTGAAACGCGAATTTAATTTCTATTTTGAATTGCGTGTTTGCATGCTTTTGAATTGCGCCGGATAATGGGTTAAAATAGAACTAGAAATGCAGCGCTTTTGTGCACAGAGTTGTGCATAGAGCGTGGACGAAAGAATTTAATTATTGCGAATCTAATTTATAATTGTTAAGAATTAATAACGGCGACCGGAGAATGAACGCTGCAAATTAGAAGAGCAGATCGGCTAGTGAAATCGTGAAAGTATCATAACTGACATTACTCGTTCTTCTTTTTCTTATTCTTTTTTATTTATTACGTTGAGTTTTATATCAGGAACGTTAACCCCTTCACTTGAAGGCAAGATTCGAATAATAGAGTTATCTGCACGAGGCAGGGAAACACTGAATTCGGTGAGCATGGGTTACGACGTTAATTGGTATTGCTGAATAAACGCCCGTGTCACTTATAGAACGAAATTAATAGAATTAAATAGAATTGAATAGAATTGAATAGAATTGAATAGAATTGAATAGAATTTAATAGAATTTAATAGAATTGAATAGAATTGAATAGAATTATTGAATATAATTGAACAGAATTGAACAGAATTGAATAAAATTGTACAAAATTGAATAGAATTGAATATAATTGAACAGAATTGAATAGAATTGTACAAAATTGAATAGAATTGAACAGAATTGAACAGAATTGAATAGAATTGAATAAAATTGAATAAAATTGAATAGAATCGAATAGAATAGAATCGAATAGAATAGAATAGAATAGAATTAAACAGAATTGAATAGAATGAAATATAATTAATAGAACAAAATAGTGTTTGCTTTGCAATTTACACACCGATAGACTTGACAACGGGAATGAAATGTCCGTGTCCCCCGCCTCCGTATCCCCCGCCTCCGTATCCTCCGCCGCCAAATCCATGGCTCGACTCGATGTCGGAGTCCAGTCCTCCTGATAACGCGAAAAGATACCACAGATTACCACAGATTCGCGAGTACGATCGTTTTAATAACACGACAATGTCAGAGTAGTCAGACCAATTTCGAAGCCGACGCCGTGGCCACCGTGATCCGCATCAATTTCGCCTAACGACAGACCATGACCTCCCAACTCTAGTTCACTGGCCAAGCAGGAACCGGCGATCGTCAGAATTAGGATCTTGCAAGCAGAACGGCCGGTATGAGTAAATTGTTGTCGCGAACGCACAAAAGCGATCAAAAAGGAAAGGCTGCGATTTACGATACGAAGATTGGCTTGATGCGACGAAAAGCTAAGATTTCGACAGCCTATGGGAAACCGATATGATCGAGCAAGCATTGATCGGTTTAGTCGGTGCGAATGAATTGCGATCGATGCAATGCGGACGTTTAAGAAAAATGTTCTCGAATTGCTGCGCGGAAGCTTGCAACGGTGACGCGACAAAGTCGGGAAGACGAATTATAGTAATTTTTCTCTAATTTGCGATTAGATCGCGCATTAAAATGGACGATTTGGGAAGAGGAGACACGATTGTTAGAGCTTTGCGTTTCGTTTTTATGGTTATTGAGAACCGGTAAATTATAAAAACGAAGCGCAAGGCTCGATCAATCGTATCTTCTCTTCCTTAACTGTCTATTTTTGTGCAGAATCTCAGTGTCAATTAGGGAGTATTTACTGTAACATCTGCTACCCGATTTTGGTAAAAAAGACAGTGAATTCTCCCTAATTGATGCTCAGATTTTATACAAAAATGGACAGTTAGGGAAGAGGAGATGCGATTATTAGAACCTTGCACCCCGTTTTTATAATTACCGATTGTCAACAGCTATAAAAACGAGTCGCAAGACACGAACAATCGTATCGCCTCTTCCCTAACTGTCCATTTTTGCGCAGAATTTCAGTGTCACTTAGAGAGAAATTACTGTAATATCTGCTATCCGAATTCGATGCGAAGGACAGTGACTTCTCCCTAACTGGCGCACATAATGCACAAAAAAATGGACAATTTGAGAAAAGGAGATGCGATTATTATAACCTTGCACCCCGTCTTTATAGTTACCGATTATCACAGCTATAAAAACGAGCCGCAGGGCTCTAATAATCGCACCTCCTCTTCCCCAACTGTCCATTTCGGCGCAGAATCTGGGCGCGAATTATGGAGAATTCACTGTCCTTGCTACCGAATTTATATAATTTCTCCCTAATTCGCGCTCAGATTGCACTCGAAAATGGACAATTTAGGAAGAGAAGATGCGATTATTAGAATCTTGCACCCCGCTTTTATAGTTACCGATATTAAAAGCGAGCCGCAAGACTCTAATAATCGCACCTCCTCTTCCCTAACTGTCCATTTTTATGCAGAATCTCAGCGCGAATTAGGGAGTATTTACTTTTTCGCCATCTTTCTGCCCACACTGACAATACTACCACCGAAACAGATTCGCTAATCAAGGTCGACACAATTTAACTCAGACTCTCTATAAATGCTGCGACGAGTCGCCGTCAACCCTTCCGTTTTAATCAGCCAGCGCACCGACACGACTCACGTACGAGGTTTTCCATTATTCTCCAGATAGGCGCATATGAGTGGTTCGTGAATAAAAGATCGACTCGAGACGAATTGTTCGCGCGAAGAGCTTATATAGGAAGATCGTGGGACACGCGGCCCCACTATCTCGTGGAAACCTTTTCAACGCCTTCACTCTATGCAGGTTACATTTCTCTATTTCTTCAAACGGCACGTGGCCCCGGCAGGCAATGATGATGCTTGCGTAACACAAACAGTTCCGTGTTCCCTGAACGGCGCAGCAAACGTGCAACCTTGTTCGATTTGGTCCGCTCATTTTCTTTCCATTGATCAACATTGTGCCACTGCTTTCCATTAAGAGCTTATCGTTAACGCCGGTTCCTGCACGGGATTAGATGAATTTCGCGGCGCGCCGTTAGTAGGAGTACCGTCCGCACTGCTTCCTACTTCCTCGTGCGGGTTAATGCACGAGACGGTCTTGATGATCTTTTAACTGGCGACGACTCGAATCTTGGCTGGCTTGGCTCGAGGCTTTTGGAATTTCTTTTGGTGATCGCGAATCCTTGGTTCGCGTGAGAGAATTTATATAATATCTACGTAATATATATATATATTTTTTTAATATAATTATATACATATTATTAGCATAGTAAAAAATATATATGAAAAGTACATTAATATAATACAATATAATATAATATAATATAATATATATTATATATATAAATATTTAACCAATAAATATTTAATACTCCCTTACAGAAAATTGCTATAAAACGTTCAAAAAATCCGAAGTTTCTATATATATCATAGTATATAATAATTATAATAATCGCATCTCCTCTTCCTAGATTGTCCATTTTTGTGTACAATCTGAGAGTCAATTAGGGAGAATTCACTGCCATTGCATATGGAACAATATTCATGATCTTATTGTAGAGTCATTAAGTATTAGCTTGAGGATCGGCGATCGTTGAAACGATGTAATTTCATCAAAAGAAACGGAAAATAAGCTACATTCTTGGACTCTTCTTGAAGAGCGCGAACTTCTACTTTCACTTTTCTAAAACGTTTTTTGTTTTATATTTTTGCATTGGTAAGCAGACGGGAAAGTAAAGGTAATTATTTCTTTTAGAAAATTTCGTGGCATCGAAGATTCTTTCGAAATACAATTTTTATTATTACATAAATTATTATATAATATTATTACGTAAATTATCGTGGATTTCGAGATTGAATATATAATATATATTATATATTATTATATGTATATAATAATGTAAAATTATATATTAATAGAAATATTATATTAATCCAGTTGTATTACAATAAAACTCCAATTTACTTCGAGCGTTACTCCAATTATGTGAACACCTACATAGGTATCGCGGTCGTAAACAAATGTAATTTCAGCACGTTTCTTTGCTCTTTTATTTCGTTGGTTACGTCAACGCGAACACCGGTTACTCGAACGAAAATTTACAGAAAGTGGGGATAATAGCGGATGAAAGGGATAAATATAACAGATAAATAGGAGATAAAATCGGACTCGTGTTATATGAACCTAACCGGTTGTATGAACTGGTTCTCTTCCGCCGAATTCATCTAAATGCGGTTCTCTACTGTACACGGTCATAAGTGTATTACCGGTAGATTGCGGATTTAATGCTTTCGTGATAGAAACGTGTAGACAAAAATAAACAGGAACAAGATTTATTATGTAATTTAAGACAATCAATACGTTAGTATCAATTGTTCGAATTTGTTCGAGGCAGACCCCAATTTGGCTCCTGTTCCTCGTGAATGATGCGGACAAATTTTATCATACGCAAATATTATGTAATTTTTATTTGTTTATTATATTTATGTAATTATTATTTCTCCAATAAACTTTGAACGAAAGTCACAGAATGTTTTCATTAGAGAAGAAAGGATGCTTGTGACGGAGATCTAGTTTCTGTAGCAAAATGTTTATCAAGTTTATTAATTTTATAAACAATTTTCAGTTATTCCGTTACCTAGCTATCGTTCGTTATATAAATTTGTTATAGACGCAGGCATTAATAAACGTAAATACTATTTTCAGGGTGTTTGAAAAGTCACTCGAAATCGGGAAATACGGAAATCGGGATTCCTGAAGCCATTTGAAGAAACTTTTTCCTTAGCGAAAATGCGATCCGCGGCTTCGTGTACGAGTTATTAACGAAAAACGCTGACCAATGAGAGACGAGATCAGCTGGCGCACGGCGGCCGAGCCTCCGAGCGGTCGAAGCCCGGTCAAGCGCTAAGCGGTCGAGCCAATCAGCGGAACTGGGCTTCGACCGCTCATTGGTCCTGCTGCCTAGCGCTAGGCGAGCTCGCCTCTCATTGGTCAGCGCTTTTTCGTTAATAACTCGCAAACGGAGCCTCGGATTGAATTTTCGCAAAGGAAAAAGTTGCTTCAAATGCTCCAAGGAACCTCTCATTTCCCGATCCCTAGTGACTTTCGGGACTTCCTGTATAAGAGTTACTACTAGCTTTTCGCGTAATGCTGAAAACATCGAAATGCAATTGTTTGAAAAAATAAAGTATTTATTAATATAAAAACCAACGGAATATGAAAATTGATAAATTCGCCATAAACATCCTTTCTAGGGGCACGATCACGTGTAAAAACTCGTGCACCTAGCGGACATATAACATAAATAAAAGAAGAAACAGCATCCGAAGCGTTGCTTGCAAGAAAAACGTGTATCCTCGGCAGGAACATTTTCATAGGCGAGAAACTGGATGTCCAGATCAGGCGAGTCGCCGTGCTCCTTAACGGATAACAAGGTTACCCGCAGCGGGGAAACTAATTTCCATCCTGATGAATATTCATGTAACATCGTATCGCGCCGGTGTCTTTTTACAATCACTTTCTTAGCATCCTCGACCCGCGGGAAAGCGCTGGAAACCTGGTAAAATCAATTTATAATTAAATCCTATATATTATAGTTATCCTATCGCGAGGATTCCCCGGTAATTATTGGGACCGCGGCGAGCTTCCCATGTCTTCACGGCTCATTAGCGGCGGCTGATCGTGACAATCAGGCTCGCCTTGCTCCTGAACTAGACCGCCGCGCCGGCAACATTCACTTTCCACGGAATCTGTGCCCGATCTATCGAAAATACCAGTGAAAGTTTCGATTATGATCTCGGGCGCATTAGCTTGGCTACGGCGACGGCCGAACGGTGTCCGATTTACAAGGAGTAACAGGAAAAACCATTCGATCCTACGGGCTCGACGTGGAAAGTTGTTATCAAATTTCTCTAACGGATCTGAGTCGATCTTTTCGAAACGCGTCCAGCTCGCCGGCTCGTCAAATTCTCGAACCCCCGTTCGGATTCTTTCGATTCGCGTTCGATCGGTTTCGCCGAATCTCGATTGAAAAGCGATCGAAAGACCGCGATCGGAACTGAACGGGAACGGCGAATGAACACGCGTTTTGAACACGCGAATCGCGCGCTTGTGTTCCCGTTGGGCCGGGAATTTATGGGAACAGGATTCTCGATAACGAGAAGGAAAACAACGCCTAGGATGTTGGGCGACTTTCACTGCGACGGACGATTCACTGCGTTCGATGTATGTTTTTTTCGTAGTATTTTATTGGAAAACTAGAACAGTAACGAGTAAAAAAAGTTGTTTAAAAAAAAACAGGAAAACAGAGAACAACAGTAGTATAACAACGGTGCTTAAACTATATACAGGGGAAAGAATAGGACGCAGTCGGTTGCGGGCCCGGAAGGTGCGATCCTTTTCCGCGCGGACTTTCTCTTCGCGCTTCCGGAGCAGTTCGGTTCGCAGAGCCTCGGGCAAAAAAAAGAAGAACGGCGAACGTTGTCGTCTAGGATCGATTTTGACGTCGGCCGGACAGATCGCTAGCTAATCAGTCGCAGGATGTTAGTGCTTCTTCGCGTGGTGATAGATCGTCTTGTAAACGGGGATCTTGATGGGGTACGGTTTGATCACTGGCACCGGCACGTGTTTCTCGATTGTGATCGGGACTGGCTTCTCCACTGGAACCGGAATGTGCTTCTCCACGGGGAACGGCACCTTCTTCTCCACGGGCACCGCCACTGTTTTTATCACTTGCACGGGCACCGGCTTCGGGATCGGCTGCGCCACCGGATAGCTCTGGGGGACGCCCACGGCTATCGGATGCGGCACCGCTATCTTCACGATGTGAGGAACTGGTACGCCTGAAACGCCGATCAGAAAAATCAGGGAAATCAGGAAAGTCGGAAAAATAAAAATCAGAAAAGTCGGAAAAGTCGGAAAAATCAGAAAGGACAGAAAAGTTAGAAAAATGAGAAAAATCAGAAAAGTCAGAAAAGTTAGAAAAATGAGAAAAATCAGAAAAGTCAGAAAAGTCAGAGAAATTAGGGAAATCAGAAAAAATCAGAAAAGACATAAAAAGTCAGTAAAGTCAGAGAAATTAGGGAAATCAGAAAAAAACAGAAAAGGTCAGAAAAATCAGAGAAATTAGGGAAATCAGAAAAAATCAGAAAAGTCAGAGAAATCAAGGAAATCAGAAAAATCCGAGATATCAGATAAATAGAGAAATTAAGGAAATCAGAAAAATCCGAGATATCAGAAAAATAGAGAAATTAAGGAAATCAAAGAAATCAGAAACATGAACAAATTTAGAAAAAATTAAAGAAATTACGAAAATCAGAAAAATTACGAAAGTCAGAGAAATTACGAAAATCAGAAAAATCAGATAAATTAGAAAAAGTCAGAAAAATCGGAATGGAAGCCGAAACATCCACGCTCCCAAACCGCAACCTTTAAAAAAAAATAGTGGAACCAAATAAGAGCCTATTCTAATTGATAAAAGCCCTCGTTGATCCGAGATAAGCGCAAATCGTATAAAACTCGATCGATCTTATTTTAAAAGCCATAGATGCATAAAGAAAAAGACCGCTTTCCTGCGTAACTGATAAACCCGACACGCGCACCTTCGCTCGCCCGGCAAAGATTTATGTCTTCCGCGTTAGAACTGTTATTAGAACTGGTAGAGTTTACGGAAATAGATTGCCGGGCAACACGAAGCACAAATCCGTGCGTAAAGTAGAAAGTGAAGTTAACGTCGGGATCGTGTAGAAGGCCGGCGAAGGATTGTTAATTTCGCGGGAGCCTGCCAGCAGCCCTTGCCAAGGGCGGACGAACGGACAATTTCGAACCTGACAATACACGGTTAATGAGTTTGATTCGCTGTTAGCTACTCGGCGTGTCTCAACTTTCCGTGAAATTTTCGCTTTCAAACTTTCTCGAAGTTGAACGATTGCTTGGCGTAATTAGTCACTTTTGCAGCTGCAACGTGTCATTACGGGATGTTGTTCAGCAATGCTCGTGGAACTTCGCTCGCCGGGATTCCACGGACTTTTAATATTCCGCTGCTCGAATTCTGTGCTGATCTTACCGAAACTAATTTTACATCGTCCCCCCTGCCCCTCCTACAATTCTTTAATTCATTTTGTACCTTGGGAGCTTGTTTGGAAAACAGCTTTGTGTGAAAATGAACTCGTTGCTATCGAAATTAAGACGAAAAAGTCTTCATTAAAGATGATGGAACAGATTTCTTTCAATAAAAATCGCTCGAAATAACCTTGACGTAACCTTGACAATAATTAGTAATTAGTATTAACGTTATTATACCATTTTCGATTGTTAAAATAGGAGGTACAGTAAATTTTACCGAAATAACCTTGTTACTAGTAGACCCGCGGATTTTACGCATTTCTGACAATACTAAGTAATTAGTAATTAACGTTATTATACCATTTTCGATCGTTAAAAGAAGAGGTACAGTAAATTTTCCCAAATCGACGCTCAGCTCGGAAGCAAAAATTGATAATTTGCTAAGGTGAGATACAATTACATATTACATTATATATTATTAATTAATCAATTACAAATATAATTAATTAATCAATTATATATCATTGATTATACATCACACCTCGTTTTTATAATTGTTGACAATCGTACCTCCTCTCCCCAAGCCCTCCATTTTCGTTTCCAAGCTAATCATCAATCAGATTAAATTTACCTCCCTGATTTCCCTAAAATATACCCTCAACTAACCCCCGTTCCCGTCAATCTCCCCGGCAACCGACCACTTTTAATGCGAAACGCTGTTCGTGCATGCTTTCGTCCGAGGAAGAAGCATTCCAACGTCGCCGAGGCGGCGTTATCCGTGCGATTACGAACTTACCGATGTGCTTAATCACTTTAACGGGCACAGGCTTGGTAACTTCCACGTGCTCGGACACAGGAACGCTCTGGACCACGCTGTGGCCACCGTCCAAGGAGACACCCTCGTCCCCGCCGTCGTGTCCGCCGCCGAGGGACGAGTAATCCGAGCCCAAGTGGTCGCTGGACACGTCCAAGTGTCCGCCGATGGATCCCTCCAAACCGCCGCCGTGCCCTCCGCCGAAGTCGCCGCCGTAACTGCTGCCTCCGTAGCTGCCTCCGCCGTAACTGCTGCCTCCGTAGCCGCCTCCGCCGTAACTGCCGCCGCCATAACTGGCGCCGCCGTAATCGCCGCCGCCGTAATCGCTGCCGCCGTAGTCGCCGCCGTAGCTTCCGCTGGACACGGACCCGTGGGACTCCTGGTCGGACCTTTCTATCGGCATGAAGCCGCCGTACAGCTGGGGATGATGGTACTGGACTTGATCCTGGTTCACGATCACGGGCACGGCCACCGCCAAGGACGCCAGAGAAAGCAGCACCTGCGGCCAACGGCAAAGTCGTCAAGTCGCTGCTGGAAAATCGCGGCGCAAGATCGAGTTCCCTCCGCGAACGTCGATCAATCCGCCGACTGTCGACTATAATAAGACTATTTTGAATCGATGTCGACACGCTGATCTGATGCCGCGGCCGCATCATCCGGCTGTCGCGCGGTGGAAAGTCGCGATCGACGGGCCCCGATAATCTTTGCGAGTCGCTAACGAGCGGGTTGCTCGCATGAAATTGACGGTTCTCGAGCGACCCGTTTTTAATCGCGTTCATAAAAGTCTGCTCGGAAATTCGTTGCTTTTGTTGCGAAGCCAGACGAACGCGACCGGATTGCGAGCCGCGTGAAAGAAATTGGCGCGCGAGCTATTTTCATCGAAATCGCGGAAGTCGAGGTTCTCACTGTTCCCGCTGAAATTGTTCGGCGATCTCGACGTTCTAGAGACGAAAAGAGAGATAGAGAGAGATAGGTGAAAGGTGGTTGAACCCGACAGAAATTGTTCGGCGCGATCTCGCGGTTCTGCCCGGATTTTTCGCTACTCACGATTCCGTTCATGGTTACACGCATAACGCTGTGTTTAACGCCGCTCTGCTAGACGTAGGAGTTCCTTCGGCGACTGATAGATCTTTGCACATTGCTCGTCTTAATATACCGGCGGGCCTTTCACTGTCGACGATGTAGTTTCGTCCTGGGGCCCGGTCGGCCGCGCCGCACACGGCCGGCGCAATTGTTTCACGTCCGTCGCGCGGACGGGCCCCGTCGAATGTATTGGCCGGTTTCGACCGCCGAACGGCGCCCCGCGAATTAGACAGTTTCTGATCGTCGGCGAGCCACACGTTCGCCGGTGATTTTCTCATTCGCGGGGTTTCCACGGCCGGCGAGCGCCGATCCCCTTTTACAACGGCGACGGAGTCGGCCGTGATCGGAGCCGGGCCCCTCGGCCGCGATTCGTCGCCGCGCGAACGCGCTCGCGAGGCGCGCCTTAATTAACCGACAACGGTCGCTTTCGTTCGTAATTACGCTAGAAAATCGAGCGGGCGAAATTAATGGCACCAGAAGTCGCGAACGGTGAACGGGCGCGAATCAATTTCCCTGTTTCCCACGGCACAAGTTCGCGACGTCGTTTAACGAGCTGTTGCGTGAACTTGCGTTGCGCAACAAGGGCCCGCGAAAACGCGCTGCTGTCGACGTCCTTGTCCGTTCGCGACGTCGTTTAACGAGCTACGGTATTGTCTTCCTAACTGACGCTAAGATTGTGCAGAAGAATGGACAATTTGGGGAGAGAAGACACGATTATTCGAGCCTTGCAGCGAGCTTTTATAGTTCTTGACAATCGATAACCGTGAAAAAACGAGCCGCAAGGCTCGGACAATCGTACCTCCTCTCCCTAAATTGTCCATTTCTGGGGACAATCTGAGCGTCAATTAGGGAGACATTGCTGTATTGCGTGAATTTGCATTGCGCAACAAGGGCCCCCGAACCCCGTTCTCTGGCGGGTTAAGTGTAGTTAACCCTTTGCACTCGAAGCCAGTTTAACCCCGTAAATCTAAATTAATTTATTTCCGACTTATGGTATTTTTCCATTTTATGTGACAAAGTGCATTTTTGTGCGTATGTAATTAAGTCTTGTGACTCGTAAAACAGTTAGACTTTTAACAATTTTGTTACATCTAAACTTTGATAATAGAAAAATTATCTTGGAACGTGATGTAACAATTTTAGCGGTGCCTCAGTTTTCAATTAAATCGATATTAGCGTAATTTTTTTTTACGTGAGTACAAATTTAGTAATAATGCTGCATATTTCATACGCGCCAAGCTAATATAATGTTATAAAGTTGTTTAAACTGTTAAATATTTTTTTGATTAGCATGTACAGGTTTATAATAATAGATTTTCCGTTGCATAAATTTGTTTACATTTAAGAACAACATTCGGCCCGTAGAGGGTTAAAAATGTTCCTTGGCGCACGGCGACCGTGTCCTTGCACGGTCGCGTGCTCGTCCAGCCGCGATGATTGACAGGTCTATCATCGGTGGCCGTTGATACCGTGCTGCTCGAACGGAATTACACGGCTCGGACCGCTTCGTTTGCGAGCGATGGAAACCCGGCGGAATTCTTCGGGACGCGGGGATTACTCTATTAAAAAAAAAAGAAAGGAAAACGCGCGAGGATCGTTCGTTTAAAAGTCTGACTGACGAGGCAATTTCATTAAGGAAATAATGACTGCCAGACCGGTGCGGCCGAGTTACCGTCGAAGTTTTTGCAGCGTAATGAAAGCATCGAGCCCCATCCGGAGCCCGAACATCTATCATTCTGTAATTAACGGGCTTAAATGTCGCCGAGATTCTGCCTCTTCCACATTTGTTACGGAACTTCGCCCCCGGTAAGCCGGCCGGGAATCTGCTCGCTTTAGCGTCCACGAAAGTTTCACGAAGTGCTGGCTGCGTATCTGTAATTAAGTTAGCCGTCGCGACTCCTGTAAAACGCTCGCGCGAGGCGACAAATAGGATCGCGTGCGCGCGACACGGTAATTTCACCGTAATTCCCCCGCTCAGATTGCCCACGAAAATGGACAATTTCGGACGAGGAGAAACGATTAGTCGTGCCTTGCGCATCGTTTATTATTATTGTTGGCAAACGGTGGTGAATTTTAAATAAATAGCTTGAATAGAAAAATTGATCTAGAAAATAGTTTTTTATTTGCTAGCTGATTTAATCGTAAAGACGCGTGATTTTGTATTTTCGAATCGTTACTGAGAAACATACCGAGAACATATTTTATAACTTTTTTAATCAAATAAAAGTTCTAATTGAAAGTTCAAATGGTGAAAAGTATTAAAGTTATTTCCATAACTAAATATAATAATCGTAGTTCCACTTCCCAAATTGTCCAGTTTTGTGCGTAATCTGAGCGCGAATTACAGAGAAATTACTGTATTCTTAAACTTAGATTTTCAAATGCTCCGGATTTCGCATGCTAGAGCTTGCACCAATCTTATATTCAGCATGTCTCAAAAATGGCTCGCAATTTGGAAAGGGGGTTCCTGAGGCCATTTGGAACAACTTCTTGCTTTACAAAAATGCAATCCGAGGCTTCGTTTACGAGTTATTAATGAAAAACGCTGGCCAATGAGAGGCGAGCATGGCTGACGCGCGGCAAGCCCAGCCAACGAGCGCACGAAGCCTCGTTGAGCGCGAGGCGGCCGAGCCAATCAGCGGAACTGGGCTTCGACCGCTCGTTGGCTCGGCCGCCAAACGACAGCCGAGCTCGCCTCTCATTGGTCACTATTTTTCGTTAATAACTCGTAAACGAGAAGCTGCGGATTGTATTTTTGCTAAGGTAAAAGTTATTTCAAATGACCTGAGGAACCCCTCATTTCTGGATTGCGAGACATGTTTGGGGCACCCTGTGTTTCAATCTTTTCATTTATTTAGAACACCTAGCACTTTATTAAAAATTAATTTCTACGCTAATCTGTTATAGTTTCTAAATTTTATTAGAATTTGCGATATCATAAAACTATACTTTTCAATTTCAATTTGTTCCAACAAAGTGCTTCAATTTGTTAAATTTTTGAGGTTATTCGTATGCCAGTCAAAGTCTTAAGAAACACCATAATCGATTGAGATATCAATAAATCAAAGTAAACTATTTCTCAGTCTAAACCAATTACAGTAAATTCTCCCTAATTGACGCGCCGATTGTACACAAAAATGGACAATTTGTGACGCGGAGATACGATTATTCGAGCCTCGAGACGCTCATTTTCATAGTCACCGATTCTCAACAATTACAAAAAGCGAGCCACGAGCCTCGAGTAATCGTATCTCCTCTTCCCAAATTGTCCATTCTTGTGCGCAATCCGAGCGCGAATTAGGGAGAAATTGCTGGTATGTACCTCGGGCGCAGAGACGAGGCTCCGCGGCTCTTCTCACCGTTTATCCGGCCATGTGAAGAGAGCATAACGAAACCATAACAACGCGATCTAGTTGTAGAGAACGCTCCGCCCGCAACTTCCCAGAAAATAACGATAATTGTAACACGGTGGCACGAATTTCGTGACTGGGCTGCGATTTTCCTGGAGATTTACGCGGAACGAAGTGCACCGTTATCTCCCGAGAGCGTGCAGTTTCTACATTTTACGTTTTAACACCGTGTTCGGTCATCGAATCCATTGTTGACTCATCGATCTCACGCTCCGAGCGATAGCATCAAAACGTTACTCAACACGCCTGTCATAACTGAAGTTACATAAATCGAAGGAAGACTCTCGGACGACTATTTCGCACGATAATAGCGCCGCAGCTTCACCGATCCGACCAAATACATATTGTTGGCCCAGAATGCGAGCTGCCGACTCGTTAAATAACGATACACTCATCTTGACGCTTATAAGGAGACCGCGCGCGAGGCCTTCGAGTCACCTAACCTGCTGAGACTTTTTACCGCTACAGGAGCAGACAGTAAATATAATTTTGTCTGTTATAGGATTAAATTTTCCGAATTAAAGTTCCATTATTGCAATGGAACTCTAGGCAATCGTTGCTCGAATTTTAATCGTAAACATCTTAATTCACTGTCGCGATTCTTCTGACCCTGTCATAGCACAGATTCGTAAGCAGGTTATATTATAACGTATAACGAGATCTCCGAGCGCGAGAGGTCACAGTGAAATCGGTACTGTGCGCCACGGGCCCCAAGGCCTTGCATTCATCTTGCCCAAGAAGCTATCCAGCATCTTATTTTCCAACGAGGAGGGAATTAAAGTAAACGTTGTAACTAGAAACTGAATTCTTTATATTTGGCAACAGAGTAACAGAACGAACAAACATAAATATTACGCTATGCTAGGAACGCGCTCAGCGTCCCGTCGGGAACGGCGCGAACCCTCTTCGGCTGTCGTCGCGCGCCGATGGAGACGCTCTTTGTTTTCATCCTCGGGCGAGCGAGGGAGCCATCCGCGTCCTGCCGCGCGTTATCGCAGGACGCGCGTGGCAGAAGCCTCGGCGTTACCCTCTCCGGGAGTCGGCGGGGCGGGAGGGGGCAGGGCCGGCACGTGACCTATAACCGTGCATGATCACCGGGACGGTGATGCAACTAATGGCTCCATCCGTGACCGTGCGACTTGACCCGATGGAACACGTGCTTGTAGACCGGAACGTGGATCGGATACGGCTTCTCCACCGGCACGGGTATGTGCTTCTCCACGGTTATGGGCACAGGCTTCTCCACCGGCACCGGTATTATCTTCTCCACCGGATACGGAACCTTCCTCTCGACTGGGACCGCGATGGTCTTCACCACCGGGATCGGAACAGGCTTCGAGACCGGTACGTGGACTGGATACGGCTGAGGTACGCCAATTGCGACCGGATGCGGCACTGGAATCGCCACCGGCTGCGCGATCGGGACACCTGATCATGCGAAACACCGATTAACCTACGCCGATTCCGCGAAACCGTCAATTAGAGTTCCACGAGCCGCGCGGGCGCTCGTCTCGCGGAATTCAGATTTCCAATGTATTTAACCGTTCGCACTCGAGCGGCGAGTCTGAGGCGTTGCTAAAAATTGTTATTTTTTTATTTTTCGTTCGATAATTGTAACCGTATCAGATTTGTTGTATTAACCGTTTGACTGCTGAGGAGCACTATCGCGCTCTTCTTATTATGAAAAAATCGTCAGCAGCCAAACGGTTAAAATTGTACTGTTAAAATTGCAGTTATTGTACTTGCCAATAGGCATAATTTCAGACGCATAGATTGCACTGTATTATGTAAAATGAGAATACTGCAGATCAGAAAGCATCTTTTGGATTTAGAATTAAAATAGCTCCGACTGCAAAGGGTTAAGTTGGTGCATATGAAATGTCGGATTTTCTTTGCATGCGAACGTTCGTCTCCCCGTTTTCGTTATGCTTTTGTTTTTGGAAGAAGCGTTCTGTAATACCGATCGGAACACTGAGAGATTATCTTCGATAGCTCTAACCTCGAAAGTAACGTATTAGGTTGATACGTATGAAACGTCGGATTTTTTGGGAAAAGTGTATCGAAACTAATAGGGCGTATTTTGATTAAATAAACAGCTTTTGAAAAAAGACATGCAGTTTTATATATTCGCTTAAAAATCCGACATTTCATACGCATCGACCTAATGTTTCCTTTCGATGGTCGAACGAAATTCGCACTTCCCATAGAAGATTTTGGTGACAACTTTTGACCCTCGTGATCGGTTTCGGATATTGTCGTATTTCTTACAGTTTAGGCTGCTTGCTTCGAATTTAAGATCTCGAGCAAAATACGTAGGATTTCATTTCTGACGAAAACTGCGTGGAGGTTAAAATAATTAGCGAAACATTGATGCACCAACTTATTAAAATTTTTTGAAAGAAGAACGATAACCTTGCTCGACTCGAATCGATCCAATGATTCCTGGGAGCATGTGAGTATTGAACAGAAGCTACATAATGCTGCTTTAACCCTTTCACGGGCACGGTATGAGATTTTAAGGATATTTCAATTCCTAGTGTCTGTGAAAGGGTTAAGATGCTAAACAAACAAGAAAATTTAACGAGTGGACTGTATATTGCTTAACCCTTTCGATACGATGGCAAGTCGGCAATTCCATTCCTCGATTATCAACATTTAAGCGTAACAGCGAATGTAGAAAATCATAATTAGGCTTAATAATAATTAATTTTGAATAGTAATTAATAGAAATTATTTAAATATTGAACAGTTACTAATTTAAATATTGAATAGTAATTTTTAATAATAATTGGTAATAATTAGGCTTAATAATAATACAAAATACGTTACAGCAGCTACGTGGTACGGTAAATATTGATGAGGAAAGATTAGAATTTTATTCCCATTTTAATGAACAGAATAACATCTATACTGAATAAGTTATTACTAGAAAGTTTCACGACGACTCGAACTCGTCGAAGTACGGCAAGGGGTTAAAAAAGCTTATCCCGTTCGAAAATACGGTATAACGTACTCTCTCTCTCCAAGGTGATCATACTAATTCACAGCGACTTGAGAAATGAACGGACGAAACTCACCGATATTTTTGACAACAGGTACTGGAACAGGCTTCGTGATCTCGACGTGCTCGCTCACGGGAACAGCCGGGGCGTAGTGATGCTGTATGTGTCCATGGTAGCCGTGATCGAGGCCTCCGCCCCCGTAGGACCCGTATCCGGATATGTCGTGAAGCCCGCCGGACAGGTGTCCGTTTAATTCCAGGCCGTGTCCCGTGCCGTAGTTGCCCTCGCTGGATATGCTGACGAGAGAGCAGGAGGCCCGGTTAATACCAAACAAAACCAAAACAAAAACGATCGATCAAATTGCTCGATCGACGATCTCTCTTACCCTTGCCAGCTTCCGGCATCGCCGACCTCGATGCTGCCGAGCGCGGATCCGGCGATCAGGCACACCACGAGAACCTGAAATAGCCGAAGAAAATTAGAGTCGAGCACCTGCGAAGCGGGAAAGCGGCGGTTCGCAGTTGAAGACGCGGGCCCGTGGAGACTGTTCCGACAATATTCCGACGCAATGATACGCGGTGAACTCGGTCAGCGATCTACTAAAAATCACGTGTCCGTGATGAAGTGTCCAGAACGGCTGCCGTAAAACTCCCCCGAAGGCGGCGCAAATATAAAACTCGGTATGAATGGGCTTCGGCGGCTTTACGACACGCGTCTCTCTCTCTCTCACACTCTCTCTTTCTCTTTTTCTCAGTGTACACGGAAGAAAGCAACGGGGTGAGCGACGGTCACTTTTCACCGGCATTGTTCGCGGTGCAAGCGGAACTGGCCGCGGGACGCGGCAATTTTTTAGTCACGGTCCACCGGCGCTTCCCTCGGGCTAACCTCCGGCTCGCTTATCTCCCGATCGACTTTCCTGCCCCGTTTTTCTGGCCGCCCCCTTTCCCACCCATCCGCCGGCCCCGGAGTGTTCTTTTTTTTCCTCCCGACGGTTACTTACGGAGGGCCAAGAGAACATACTTCGACCGCTTGGACGGGGGACAGTGGATCAAGAAATGGATACTGCGGATAGCTGCCGATGGACCGCTCCTTTTTATACGCTTTCTCCCTCTCCCCGGGCTGGATGATCTCTCTCCTGAAAACCGGACTTGCATGCTCGCGCTCGTATGATACGCGCGCGCGTGTAGGAGACACGAACGGACGGAACGGACGAGTAGTACGCGCGACGAAACTCGACACTCGCGTCGCCGAGACATCCTAGACGCGGCGGACAAGCTTTCAGTGTCACGGTGCCGGGGCCCCGAGGATTTTGTCAAGGGTTTGTCTCTGTCCCCCGGGACCGTCTTTCTTCGAACACGCGCGTTATACATGCGCCGCGAGATGGAAGAACTTTCGCGAGCGGATCTATCCGCCGAGAGCCGGATAGACGAGAAGAGAGTCGAGAAGAGAGTCGTTTCAACGATGTGTACGCGGCCAGCAAATTGCTACGGTTGACATCGTCATCTCGGGTCCGAATTTCGAGAGGACCGAATTGAAATTCCCGCGACGACGGCTGGGACCGACCAACCGGGCTCTCCGTTGGTCTTACTCGAGAAACGCTGACGGAATGCACCGTCAGATCCGCTAACTACATATCGTGGTCTAGGTGAACGTGGTGAACGCCCATGCGAGCCGGCCGTGATCTCTCGCGATTGAGCAAGCGATGAAAGCGATTTCCTTTTCTACGCGAGGCCCTCTTTCTTCCGTTTTGCCCTATTTTGCGATGTCACCGTCATGAAATTCTAAGGCGGAATCCGACCGTGCCCGGTTCACCGGGATCAACGCTAAAAAAGAATCCGGCCGCATTTTGTTGGCGACGGATTCGACGATACGTTATGAAATATCGACGGCTACCGGGGGAATTCCTTGTCGATTGTCGCCGCGAATTGCGAACGAAAATGGATCATTTGGGGAGAGGGGAAATGATTGTGTTAGAGCCTTGTACCTGGTTTTTAGAATTGTTGGCGATCGGAGGCTTGAAGAATGAGTCGCGAGACGAGAATGATCGTATCTCCTCTTCTCAAATTGTTCATTTTGGTGTACAATATGAGCGTCGATTAGGGAGAATTTATTGTAATTGACTTGGACTGAGAAATCGTTTACTTTAATTTATTGATATCTCAATTGATTATGGTGCTTCTTAACACTTTAATTGGCACACGAACGACCTCGAAACTTTCATAAAATTCAGGCACTTTATTCGCACAGATTGAAATGAGAAAGTTTAGTTTTATGATATCGATTACTTTTTCAATATTCTTACGGTTCACGAATCCTAATAACATTTGGAAACTGTAACAGATTAGCGTATGAATTCATTTTCAAATCTGGAGGAATCGTTCGGTCACCTACATGTGGATGACGCGGCAGCCAAAGTGCTAGGTGTTCTAAATTAATGAAAAGATTGAAATATAAAAGATTGGTGCAAGCTCTAGCATGCGAAATCCGGAGTATTTGGAACTGCAAGTTTAAGAATACTTTATTCCAGCTTCTTTTTCAAGTTCCATGGTGTTTTTCTCTATCGTTTGCCACGCGATCGTAACATTTTATGACAAATTAGCTCGAGGAAACATTTCCAAGCAATCCGATTGTTGACAATCGGGAACTATAAAAATGAGCCGCGAGGGTCGACCAATCGTATCTCCTCTTCCCAGATTATCCATTTTTGTTTACAAGCTGAAGGAAAATTCGAGAGAGTTTAACTGTACTTCCAAACTTCGAAGTAGGGACGCACGATTCCGATTCGATTCTCCAGAGAATCGATACTTTCGATTAAAACGTCGATCTTTTGAAACGATTCTTCGGTATTCATTCTTTCTCGGAATCGATGTTTCGAATCGTCGATAAATCGAAACTGCTCGATGCGCAGTTTCTCCTGATCTTCCACGCATGCGATTACTCGAAGATCGTTCTTAAAAAATCTTAACGCGTCGATTCCTTCGATTCGGTATTTTATTTTCCTTATATTTTATTTTATTTGTTCCTCGCCGAGCACACTCGTCGCGATGAAAATACATTCGCTTCGACCGTTTATAAGAAAATTTATGTAAAACCGGAGACCGATTCTTAATTATCGACGAGTGCACTCGTCCCCGCCCTAAAACGACGAAGCACTCGGATGCGGACTTTCGAAATTGAATATATCAATTAAATGGTTGAGTTTATTTTCCAGCAGGAAGCGTTCGGGAATACTTCGAGTCCGATTAAGTTTTGCCGAATATGGAATATCAAATATAATATAAAAGGAGACAAATCTTTTGCTTTTAGTTTCGTCCACTTTTTCAGATTCGAAAGTACCGTTGTATAATCCTCAACTTTTTAAGACGTTTAAGAAACGAAGCGAACGCGAATACAGCTCTCGTATCTCGCAATTTGTGCAGACAATTTTCATTCCGCATCGAAACCTACGATCCGCGACCGTCTCTCTCGTTCAAGGCGTACGAAGACTCGAAAACCAATATCTCTTCTCTACTCGGACGCGTATAAAATATTTACAAATATTTTTCTGAAAATTACGAGCTTCCCGATTCGCAGCGTCCCGATCATTTGTTCCGCGTAACTTCGTCTCCGATCCGCAGCATAAAGCGTTCCAAACGTGTTCTACTAGGACGTAAAATTCGTTCGAAGGATTACGAGGTCCGGGAAATCCGGTTGAAGAAGCCGGGTCCTCTAATCCGACGTCGATTCGCGATTATAAGTTATATCGGTCAGTGAACCGACGCAACCGAGCCGCAATCGATATCCGTTCCGGTAACGTAGCCTTGCATTTGAGCCGACCTTAGCCAGGCGACGGGCATCAATACCGTACCACGGTGAATTCAGAAGAAGGGAAACGGCGGAACCCGTTTTAGCGGAATCAAAGTAACTAGTGCCGTGAGGCAGCTGCGACTGTTATAACGGTCGAACAGCGATCCTCCTTTCACACCGAACCAGCCGATACTCGTACTTTCATCGACGCTGCTTTTTTCGGATCTACTCGCGTTTTGCCTTTTAACTCGGCCAGCTTTATTTGCTTTCCTTTCTTATTGCGTGAAAGACACCGCGCCACTCTCACTAGGTTTTAACAATATCGTAAACTTGGTCGCTGGATGCGCCAAGAAAGCGACCCGCCTCTGGCTCTCGCGGCAGCAAAAAATTGGAGAAACCGAAATTACCATTATCGACTTGTCGATCGTCGTCCATCGCCTGCGGCCACTTCTCTGGATAATTTTGAATAAATAAAGTATCGTCTCGCATCGTCTGGTTAATTAAAAATGATCCTACTCGTGAAATTTGTGGCACCTCGTCTTCACCTTCCATTCCCAACGACGGAGATCTTCATATTTCGGGAGAGCACGGTAAATCCTTTCTCTCTTTCCCGGGTCACGTGATCCTTGGAACGAATTTTACGTCCGAGCTGATCACGTTTGGAACGCTTTATGCTACTACTTTATGCTATTTTTATCGCGACGAGTGTGCTCAGCGAGGAACAAAAACGACGAGCATGCACGATGCAAGAATCGAGAGTGTCTTCAAAATAGGGGCAGTTCGATTCGCCTCGAAAAATCGATTTTCGAATCGATTCGCAATCGAATCGTAGAAATCGCTTGTTCCGAAAGGTAGAAACCGAAGAATCGATGCGAGAAGAGTCGTCGCGAAACGATCGTTCGTTCTATAAGGAAAATAAAACACCGAATCGAAGGAATCGACGCGTTAAGATTTTTTAAGAACGATCTTCGAGTAATCGCATGCGTGGAAGATCAGGAGAAACTGCGCATCGAGCAGTTTCGATTTATCGACGATTCGAAACATCGATTCCGAGAAAGAATGAATACCGAAGAATCGTTTCAAAAGATCGACGTTTTAATCGAAAGTATCGATTCTCTGGAGAATCGAATCGGAATCGTGCGTCCCTACTTCGAAGTTTGGAAGTACAGTTAAACTCTCTCGAATTTTCTTTCAGCTTGTAAACAAAAATGGACAATCTGGGAAGAGGAGATACGATTGTTCGAGCCTCGCGACTCATTTTTATAGTTCCCGATTGTCAACAATCGGATTGCTTGGAAATGTTTCCTCGAGCTAATTTGTCATAAAATGTTACGATCGCGTGGCAAACGATAGAGAAAAACACCATAGAACTTGAAAAAGAAGCTGGAATAAAGTATTCTTAAACTTGCAGTTCCAAATACTCCGGATTTCGCATGCTAGAGCTTGCACCAGTCTTTTATATTTGAATCTTTTCATTAATTTAGAACACCTTGCACTTTGGTTGCCGCGTCATCCACATGTAGGTGACCGAACGATTCCTCCAGATTTGAAAATGAATTCATACGCTAATCTGTTACAGTTTCCAAATGTTATTAGGATTCGTGAACCGTAAGAATATTGAAAAACTAATCGATATCATAAAACTAAACTTTCTCATTTCAATTTGTGCGAATAAAGTGCCACAATTTTATGAAAGTTTTGAAGACGTTTGTGTGCCAATTAAAGTGTTAAGAAGCACCACAATCGATTGAGATATCAATAAATTACAGTAAACGGTTTCTCAGTCCAAGCCAATTACAATAAATTCTCCCTAATCGACGCTCATATTGTACACCAAAATGTACACTTTAGGAAGTGGAGATACGATCATTCTCGCCTCGCGGCTCATTTTTCAACCTTCCGATCGCCAACAATTCTAAAAACCAGGTACAAGGCTCTAACAATCATCTCCCCCCACACCTCGCGCCTCGTTTTTATACCTTCCGATTGTCAACGATCGCAAAAACGCGCCGCGAGGCTCGAACAATCGCATCTCCTCTTCCCAAATCGAAGTTCATATAATCGGAGAGAATGTACTATATACAGTTGGCAGCATTGGTCGCTGCAAAGTTGTCGAGAGGCGAGAAAATCGTCCCCGAAGACTGATCATTTTCCATCGGCGGTAATCCAGCCGCAAATCGGTGGCCCGATTAAACTGGCCGGTCGGTCCGGTTCTCCAGCAATTCGCCGGGATGCGGATGCATCGTTGGAGCCCTCCTCTCTGGTCGGTCGGACCCTGGACTTCTTTCTTTGAGCGTACGGTGGTCCGGAACGGCGACAGAAAGGGCCATTGTCCAGGTAAATGATCAAGAGAGCCTCGGATGGAAGTCACCGGGCCACGGAAAGAGTGACTTTGATCGAGCGACTTTCTTCCCTCGGTAATTGCTCCTGATTCGTGGAGCCGCAGCGGCGACGGCGACGGCAGCAGCCCGAAAGGACCCCGCGGGGGACCGACCGCGGCGGAGAAAGGGGGTATTACGGATGGTCAGGAAAGAGGCGAGTGAAAGGATTTCGTGCTCGGGACACGCTCGTAGATCCGACGAGGAGAGTTTATCCAACCCGGGTCGTTCTCCCGGTCGTTCTCCCGGCCCGTTCCGTTGCACGTAACTGGACACTGATGTTGCATTCTTATCCCCGGCCTGTTCCGTCCGGTGCACTGTCTTCCCGCGAAACGGATCACGGCGTCACTTTCACTCTAACACGACTTCCATCGACTTCCTCTGGACAGGCTCGGCGGATCGCGCCGCGATACCATTGTCTCCGAGCGATCCAGGAAACGGTGGCTTCGCAGGAAGCGCCCCGCTTGACCTCCCTCCCTCCCCGCCCTCCCACGGCGATCCGATTGTCCGCGCGAGAAAGGAAGCGACACAGTTCCTGGCCGCGTTTAACGATCCATTTGTCGCGACGACGATCGACCGGCAACTGTGTCACCATGTTAGATAATCCCCTAAGAATCCGCCATCCGTTTGCTCGACGACACGAGACCAGGATTTCCCTGTTCGGGGATATTCGGTTTAACCCTTTCGTTACGGGTGCCGACTACAGGGTGTTCCGAAAATGTCTCGCAATAACGAAAGTAGGGGATTCCTGAGGTGATTTGAAGCAACTTTTTCCTTAACGAAAATGCAATCCGCGGTTTCGTTTACGAGTTATTAACGAAAAACAGTGCGCCAATCAGAGGCGAGATCATTTGGCGCGAGACGTCCGAGCCAGCGGAACTGGGCTCCGTGCACTCGTTGGCCGGGCCGCCGCGCGCCAGCCGAGCTCGCCTCTTATTGGTCAGTGTTTTTCGTTAATAACTCGTAAACGAAGCGTCGGAGAAAATTTTCGCAAAGGAAAATGTTACTTCAAATGACCTCAGGAACCTCCCATTTCCGGATTGCGAGACATTTTCGGGACACCCTGTGTAATCGACGTTCGCGTGACGACCCGCGTACACGGGTGCCGACTATAATCGGCATTCTGCTGAAAATTTCACATTTTTGCTTATAGAAGATTTCTATCTTTTTATCAATTCATTGAATGCAAACTTTAATAATGTGTACATTCTTGTGAGAAACGATACAGCAATTTTTAGTGTCGCCTCAGAGTCGTCGATCGAGTGCAAAGGGTTAATATTCATACGATATAATGATTTTAATGTTTTTCATATAATACAATGAAGCAGTTGTTACGCGGCTCTTTAAAAAAGTGTGCATACAAGACGATCGCAAAGTGGCGTTAAAAGACGCAAGTCCGAACATCGAATACAGTATAAAACATTTGATAAGTATAAAAACGAGGTACAAGCCTCGAATAATCGCATCTCCTCTTCCAAAATTGTCCATTTCTGAGGACAATCCGAGCGTCAATTAGAGAGACGTTATTGTACAGTAATGTCTCCCTTACTGACGCTCAGATTGTCCACTAAATTGAATAATCTGGGAAGAGGAGATACGATTTATTCGAGCCTTGCGGCTCGTTTTTATAATTGCGGACAATTTATAACAATAAAAATAAACCGCAAGGCTCGAATAATCGTATCTCCTCTTCCCAAATTGTCCATTTTCGTGGTCAATCTATTGCGTCAATTAGAGAGACATTGCTGTACTATCGACGTGCAAAGTGCACGCTTCGCGACGCTGTGCCCCGTTCAGTCGCGTCACTCCGCCGGAGCGGGCTGCCGTAAGGAAAGGGTTAACGCGAGTTCCTCCGCGAGACTTTAGCGGATACTACGGCCGACGCGTTGCCTTTTCGCGGTGAAAGCGATCGGTACTTTCTATAGGTTCGGGACAGAGAGACAAACACAGATCGTTCGGCTTTCTGGGAACAATGTTTATTCGTAACAAGTATAAAAATAAATCATAGGGGACCGACACCATGGCTGGAACAATGCAGAGCGGGAGGGGGGATTCTCGTGGCGGAGAACGGCGCGGTTCTCTTATCGGCGCCAGGTAGGATGCACCGGTTTCTGCAGCGCTGCGAGCTGCACCGCGTTCGCCACGGCGTTCTCTTTCGCTGCTATGATGTCTTTCTCCTGGAAACACGTGCGACATGAAAGGTGATCGTGGATTAGAACGCACGCGAAAACTATTTTAATGTTTTATCCGGCGGACAAGATCGAACGGTTCGGAAGATTTTAAACAGTTGATCGATGACCAGGATCATCGAATCAATGATCCGGGAAGTTATCTTGATTGATATTTGGTTGGCGCGTATGGAATTTCAGAGTTTCTTATGTATGGGAACGTTTTTCTTTCTGTTTTCGTTGTGCTTTCGTTTTTTGGCGTAATCTCGTTTATGATCGTACCGTTCATTGCCAGAGTCAAAGTTTAAAATTTCAAGAAGGAAGATTTTCTCAAAAATGTTTCATTTTGTTATTCGGTTTGAATTTCGTTAGGATATGAATTTAATCGATATTCGCGTAATTTTTTTATATGAGTGTAAAATTAGCATTAATGTTGCAAATTTCGTACGCTATAGTCAATAATGTTAAATAGCATTCCGTTAAGTGAAGCGATAAGACGGCGATTCCAGTGCAATTCAAGTGCAATGACGGCCCCCAAAAAATGCACGCTGGCATTAGCGGTCGATGCTAAAAGCGATTACCTTTACAGAATTTACTGTTGAAACAACGAAAATCCTATTTTTTAGAAATGGATTTCTTAGAAATCTCTTTCTGCGCGGAAAGTCCTGTGATGATTTAAAATGATTTAAAAAATACGATTCTTCTTGCAATGTCTTTCTTTTTTACTACTCGGTGAGCTAATAAAATGCACCGGATTGCAGTCAGACGAGATCATTTTCATTCGGAGAAATTATACCTTTGCCTCCTGCTCGCTCTGACTGATCTGCTTATCCACATCTTGCTTCTGCAACTCGGCTGCAGTTTCTGCCGCGTTCCTCTGAATCGCAGCGGCGGCGGCAGCCTCCCTGGCGGCTGCCACCCGTTGCGCAGCTGCTACCGCATCCTTCAGGGACGCTAATCTCTGCTGAAGAGCCACTAGCTGCTTGGCACTCGATCTGGCTTCCGCTTCGGCTGATGACGAGATCTCTTGCGACCTTGGAAACCCGGCCGTATGATTTATGAATATAATATTCAAAAGCAATATATATATATATATACGGAGTGTCCCATAATTATGGTACTTCCGGGAAATTAGAGATTCCTGAGATTATTCGAAACAACTTTTTCCTTTACAAAAATTTTCTCCGACGCATCGTTAACGAGTTATTAACGAAAAACGCTGACCAATGAGAGGAGAGCTCGGCTGACGCGAGGCGGTCTAGCCAACGAGCGCGCGAAGCCCGGTTCCGCTGATTGACTCGGCCACCTAGCGCCAGGCGAGCACGCCCCTCATTGGTCATTGTTTTTCCTGAATAACTTGTAAACGATACCTCGGAGAAAATTTTTGTAAAGGAAGAAGTTACTTCAAATCACCTCAGGAACACCTCATTTCTCGGAAATACTATAATTTTGGAATACTGTACCTATTAATTAATTACTATACCTGTTAATTTACTGTACCTATTTTTTTACAGTAAATTCTCCCCAATTTTCTTTCAGCTTGTAAACAGAAATGGACAATTTGGGAAGAGAAGATTATTCGAGTCTATTCGAGCCTCGCGGCTCATTTTTATAGTTATAAATTCAACTGAATCGTCCACTTTTGTTTATTACAAGGTGAAAGAAAATTAAGGCGAATTTACTTTACTTTTTTTTTTAAAGACGTATTTGTATATTCCAAGGAATCGTGTAATTTTAAAATTAGCTCTTTCAAAATGGTTACCTGGCTGTAGCCTCCCTCGCAGCAGCCTCCTTGGCCAGGGCGACCTTCTGCTGGACGACGGCAGCGTGCTTAGCCTCCGCCACCCTCTGCTGTGCCAAGTTCACATTTTGGTTCGCGTCTTTGGCGTGTTGAATCGCTCTGATAACGTCCGGCGGATAGGCGATGCTTGGAGTACCAGGTGCTGGATCCCTCAGTGCCTGTCAAAGATAATTACACAATAACAATTAACACAATTTTATACATAATTTATTTGAGGCGATGCTATATTCGCCGAGAAAGTATGCTATATATATACTATACTATGCTATAATATACTATACTATGTATACTATACTATGCTATAATATATTATACTGTATACATATATACTATTCTATGCTATAATATAATATACTATAATTTTGGGACACCCTGTATACTATACTATACTATATACTCAGTGTACCTGAATGGCGACGTCGTGCGTAGCCTGAACCTGGACCTGCGTCAAGGGGACATCGGGAACACCCGAAGGGCTCCAAGAAGTCGATCCGAAACTGGTCGGCGACCACGACGGAGCGGAGAAAATGGGCGCGACGCCGAAGAAATCGTAACTAGACGGTCCAAACAAGGCCACCCCTCTTTTCTCTTTCTTCGATACCGATTTCGGCTCTGCCACGTTGGCCAGTGCGACGACAACGAAGGCAACAAAGATCTGTAAATATATTAATAAATAATATATTAATTAGTAATAAATATATTGATAAATAATATATTAATTAGTAATAAATATATTGACAAATAATACATTAATTAGTAGTAACTATATTAATAAATAATATATTAATTAGTAATAAATATATTAATAAATAATATATTAATTAATAATA